TATGAGAAGAATATGCTAACGCCTCTCACCCCTCTCCTCAGCTAGACGCTTCATCGAAAAGGTCCTCCGAAGTGATTTCGAGCCAGCCGATGCTATCAAGATGCTACAGGAGAAGCACACTATTGACTTTGGGTCTCGCGCTGGAGGTAGCGCGCCAGCGAAGGCCACGGACGCCTTCTTCCCGCAGTTCTTCCTTGACTTCTTCAGCATCGTCGGCAAGCCACGCAGCCCCATCACGAAAAGCGACGGGCCCGTCTTCGACAACATCGAGTTCTCTCTTGAGTCATACGCAGCGCCCTATAGCGCAAAGCATATCGGCGGCATCCCGTTCGATATCACCGGGCGCACGTTCAGGGTCGCCAAGGCTGGTACCCGAGAGGTCTGGTTCGTCGTCATGCACCCCGTGGCGCACGAGCCGACCTCCAGGGGCGGGGGCCCGCGCGAGAGACAGACGGCCTCAGAGAAGAGCGGGATGCCGGCTGGGTTAGCCCGCGAGCTGGCTGCATATATCGTGGGCGTCTTCCAGTCGCCGCAGCTGCTTGGCGAGGGGGTTGAGGCCTGCTGGCGGTTGGGGACAAAGAGCACTCAGCGTATAAGCTCAGCTAAGTGGCAGGTCTTCCAGCAGCAGTTCATGGACGGTTGGGCTGTCTGGGCCAGCAACCACAACCACAATTCATTCTGGCGACGCCACGAGCCGGCGTTCCACGCGTATGACTACGGCGCGAATATCGAGATTCAGGTCAGCGATAGCATCTACGACCTGCCGCGCGAGAGGCATATACCCTATGAGGAGGAGGAGGAGGAGGAGGAGGAGGAGGGCGGGGAGCAGGGCCCTAGAGATGGAAATGTTCAGCAGGACATTGAAGAGCTCTCTCTTAACGATGAACAAAGAACACACAGCGATGCAGTGGACGGCCGGGAGTACCAGCAGATGCTCAGGGAGAGCAGGGACCTGCAGAGGATGATTATAGAGCTCGACGCCCGCTTTGATCTCAGCAGTATCAGTGCTATATCGTACGCCCTTGCAGTCTGTATCAACAGCGAGTCGGGTAGCTCGCAGACGCGCTGCCTCCTCGCCGACCGGAACATGGTGGCGCGAGAGTACCCTGGTAACCGCGACTACACCTTCTACCCGCAGGCCTTCCACCCAACGTATGGAAACTTCTCATCCAGCCAGCCGCCCGCCTTCCTCAACTCGCTCTACACCGCTATACAGGGGAATATGAGCGACCGCAATGAGGGCGCAGACGTGCTGTCGTTCGGCTACTTCCAGGGCTACTCCAACATCAAGAGAAGCGTGCGCCACAGCGCCAGCGCCCTCCTCGCAACGAAGGGGTACGCGACAGCAGCGCTAACAGCCCCAACGTCACACACATCCGCCATGTCGTACACAAGAGACAGGCGGGAGAGGCTGCTACGTTGTATCCGTGGCGACCTCACGCCTGAGCAGCCTGAGGAGTCTAAGCCATTTGCGCGAGAGCGTAGGCAGCTGGACATCGCTATCGAGAAGGATGAGGTAGCATACCGGATGGAGCAGGTTGTATCACTCAATATACGACATATGGACAGCGTTGAGCGCACATTCGAGAACGTTATTCGCCCTATTTTCCAACTCATGCGCTTCTTCCTCACAGAGCATGAGTCGTATGTCCACATCTTTCGGTCTATACCAGTCGGAATCTTCCCCCGTATCATGTCAGCCTACTGCCGCCTGTTTGAGCTTGCTATCTGTGAGATGGAACGGCGTTACGTTGCTGGCGGCGAGCGCGGCCTAGACCTCGCACACTCTGAGGCTGTTGCAGTACTTGACCGGCTTGGTGGGTATATCTTCACCGGGCATGAGCGCCACCTGCCGAAGACGGTGCTCCGGCCGCTAGGCACCATCGACAGCCTTCTGGCTGGGGCGTGGCCCTATATCGACCCAGCCGTACTAGACCTCGCTCCAGCCGGGGCAGCGACCTGCTTTATGGACACCAGCCGGTGGCCCCGCTCCGCGAAGACGGGAAGGCTTATACTGCTCCATATTAGCGAGCTACAGCACCACTACGGCGACCGCCTTGCCTCCCACCGGGAGACCGAGATCTGGTTCAGCCAGCTAGGCCGGGACGCATTCAAGAGCCATGCAGCTGTGACGGAATATGTGACGGAACTCATGCGGGAGATGTGGATCCCCCAGACGAAGCTCTTCATAGCTAACCAACTACGGCGCAGGCTGCAAGAAGGTAGTAGCGACACTGGTAGTATGCCTATTACCTTAGAGCAGAAAGAGGCGTGTAAGTCTGCTGTTGAGGCGTGGGAAGCGGCGCCAGACGCCTTCACCCATGTGGCGCTACAGCGGCTAATTGACGGTCTCACCTCAGGCGGCTCGCGCATAAAAATAACCTTGTCGAGGACGCGCACCAGGCACGACTTTGCTACTCAGCTTCTCCGCGTTGTCTCTACTGAGAAGGGGCGGGCAGCATCCGCGCCAGTCAACGCGACATGGCCGGACCATCTACAGGCGGCCATAACTAGCGGCAACCAGGCCAGCAACGGACTCAAGCCCGACGAGTGGGTCTCCGTGATAGCCAGCCGACTCCTCGCGGCCGGTGTTGAGTGGGTGCCTGACGCCGTCAAGGGCCGCTTAACGTCAACAACCGTCGTCAGCCTGTGCGGTCGAGAGGTCGCGCACGTAGTAGTAACCGGCCCGCCAGGCTCCCTGAGGCGCGCGGCGCAGGAAGCTCAAATCAAGCACGAGAAAGCTGCGCACGACCGGGCGCTCAGGCAGACGCGCAGAACCATCAACTTCGGCTGCAGCTTCCCCTTCACCGACGTCCCCAGCCTTATTACGGACGGTTTTCTCAAGGCTAAGGCGATCTTCTCTAACAAGGGCGATATACAGGTTCTGGACCACTACCAGCTAGCGATAAACGTCCTCTACAGCAACATCGAGGACCCCCTCTGTTGCCTGATGCTGATGATCACATTGACCGTTTGCTCCTCATCGGAAACGCCAGAGGTCGCGCCTGGGTCGCGCAAATTCGGGACCGCAGCCAAGAGAAAGGACCCGGCCCAGCTGGCCCTCGTTATGGTCACGAGGATGATGTGGTTCCTCTACCCCGCCTCGTTCCCCTGGAAGAAGGGTTCAAGTGGGACGGCCTATGATGTAGCCGAGATGACGAAGAAGATTGGTACAGTATAACGCAGGGATGGTGTGAGGCTTATGATGCTAACAGCGCTGTAGAGCATAAGGGGTGCAGCAACAGGATGTTGCGTGAGCTGGGTTGGGTCACCTCAAAAAGCAACCGCGACAGCCCCCGAAACACAGACCTGCAGCTGCGGCCTCAAGAGGACCTCCTCCAGACACTCCGAGAGCTACGGTCGGCCATGAAACGACCAGACGACTTTATCAGCGTGGTCTTCAACAGCCAGGACAGCATCTGGACGGAGCGTTGCGCGAGCATCATCAAGGATCGATAAGGTTATATAAATACAATAAACAGGCGAATAAGGGAATAGAGATAATAGGAATTGAGTAGGAGATGCAGATGCCTTTGGTTTTTTTTTTCCAATTTCGGTGGGCGAATCCGATAGGAGCCAGGTGATGCGTTTCTCCACCAGCCTCTCTTGCTGAGCCATCACGCGGGGGACACATCGACTGTTATGTCGAAAGGTTGTGTACCTCGCCAACAGGACCATTATCCTGAGGAAGGAGAGTATAAACGGGGATTGGAGATACGAGAGACCTAGATATAGTATATAATGTGAGGCTAGGCGGTGCCTTGCAGGAGAGGGAATTTTATCAACATATTCGTAAGTATACGTAAGGTATTGCACTCTGATAGCTTAGAACTGAGAGTGTAAACGAAATAAAGCCTAAACAAGAGATTTCTTGCCAACGGAGAGGCCTATGACAAAACGGACTGGATATTTGAGATCAGGGCAAAAGGTTGCACAGAAAAAAAGCTGCAAAAGTTGCGACCCGCCCAGGACTCGAACCCGGACCTTCCCCTTAGCTAGAGGGGAGCTCTGCCAATTAAGCTGGCAGGCCTCTCATCCCAACTGGTGATATCTCTGCGACGTTTCACGCCTTTAAGGCATGCGCGGCCGTAGTCTCGCGCGCATGACGGTCGTTTCGGGCAATACATACGAATCGAACCCGCCCAGCCCGGCGGCGGCCCGCAGGCGCATCCTAAACCGGCATTGCAACCAGCTGCCGCGCCGCCGCGCTCCTGCAGCGGCGCGCAACGGGGAAGAAATGGACAAGCGACAGAGGGTGCAAAAAAGAGGCCCACCCAGGACTCGAACCCAGATCTTCTCCTTAGGGTTAGGAGTGCTCGACTAATTAAGCTGATAGGCCCTCAACCAGTGATTCAGCCTACTACCGTTCTCCTACTTAGGCCTTTCGACGCACGTCAAGCGTTAGGAGTTAGCTTGACAGATTGCTGAGTCGGCGAGGAGCAACGCTTGCGGGCGACGTCGCTGGGCCCGGGATAAGAGCGGGGCCCGCCGCCGTCAGCCCGGCCCGGACGGCGAGGCGGGGCGACGGGGCCGAGGCAGAGGGCGTCAGCCAGCCAATTACGGGGAAGGGGGGAAGAACAAAAAGAAACGCAAGAAAAAGGAAAAATGAACGACCTCACCTGGATTCGAACCTGGATCTTCTCCTTAGCTAGAGGAGCGCTCTACCACCAAGCTACGAGGCCTCTCGACTGGTGTTGGGAATGAGGGTGATATCGTTGCCGATAAAGCCTAGCGGCGGATAGCGATGTGATGAGCGAGACGTTGGCAACGGGCGAAGGACACTTAGCTGTTTGTGTGTTCGGCGCGTATATAGTGTGCTTAGCAGCTAGGACCTTAGGGATAGATCTATAGGTAATAGGTGATAGGATAGGGAGCTAGATACATAGCTTATATATCACTGAAGCAGGTTAGAGTGGAACAAGAATGCTTTACCTCAGGCGAGTGGGTTTTATAACCTTGTGGACGCGGTGATCTCATACGTTACTTAAACTCTGCATTACTCACCATGAGATCGTCTTGACCAGGGGAACGCTTCCGACTCTTCTAACCCATCTATGCTGACCGCATAGCCTCAATCTCCTCAGGGCCACTTGCGCCAAAACCTTGGTTGAGAAAACGTTACCGAGGAGCGTGAACAGAGATAAAACCCATCCACCATACAGTTTCCCCAAGTCTATTGCCTCTAACCTGAGGCTATGCTGGAGACTTCCGAGGAGCGAGGACCACGTCTTTCGCCCCCCTCCAGTGACATCAACGGACTCGAGAACAAGCTCCCGAAGCGTGTCGCGATGCCCCTCTAGCAACGTCATAAGCTCGTCCCTTGTGCAGTCGACGAACTCGATACGGAGGCTCTGGAGGCTGGGAATTCGAAGATCCTCGGAAAGCCTCGGAAATTGCTGCCTTTCGTCGCGGGGATTGAAGTGTAAGGTGAAGTCGGTCAGCGTGAGAAAAAGACGGAGGAAGCCCGCAGAACTCCGGACACCAATCGGAATCCTAGTCTGGATCGGGTCGGTGTTGGAAACTAGTTTCTTCACATCCTCATCGAATGCGTTCTGGTGGCTGTTTGGGTTGACCACAAGTAGCAGGGTTTTGATGGGAGCAAGCCGATTCTTCAAAGTGTCTACAGACACAGGGATCGTTGATAGCATGCGTGGGGTGACAGAGGTGCAGCCCGTCTTCAGATCGCCAAACTGAATATAGAGTCTCTCTACAGCATGGCGACTGTGCAGCAGTCCTATGAACAGGGCTCTGATCAACGTGGTGGCAAGACCATACTCTGGGCCTGGAAGGGAGTGACGAAGCGGTTCGGAAACGTGCCAATGCGGCGACCGAGTCGAAGGGCCCCCCAGGGACGGACGTCGTCGTCAATGCCGACAGCTTTGCAATGAGGGAGGTTGGATAGTGCCTCAACCCAGTCCCTGATCCAGTCTCCCTTTCTCAGAAGGAAGTCCTGTAGGCTACCCCATTCGGCCCTATACCTCTCAATAACAGCCTCGTAACTGTCATCGCCAAGTGACAAAGGTCTCACCGTCGCTGAGCCTGATGCAATCATATTCATCGTTAATCCCACACATCCATAGTCCGCTCGGCTCATGTAATCCGGAGGCGCGACCAAGTGATCCGTAGTGAGTTCGACGACTTGCACCGCGCAACGGAAACTGAATGGTGAGAGATCTCGACCAGGTTCCGGATGCTCTGATGTTCAAGCATGATTATGGCGCGTGCGAAAGAAACGGTCCTGGAAAGGTCCAGATGTCTTGTCAGCTAGAGCCCGGCAGGCGGAGCGTAAGCTTAGCAGATTCAGGTGAACTCGAGGTGTTGCGATATACACCCAACAGTCTCTGCGGGAAGAGTTGTGAGTCGGCCTTGCGCCATTCTGAGATGGACCGTTGAGGTGAATGGGAACTGAGTTTGTGAAGTTGAAGCTCGTGTCGCTAGACATGCTTAAGCGCCGTAGTGGAGACCCCCACATGGGAGGATGACTAAGAGATGCTGCTATCAGGCCTTACACTTCGCTTCATACGTAACGTAATTGGCAGAAAAAGTAGGCTGGGAAAGTATCCCATATACTATTTGCAGCGTTTATGGCAAAGGATATATACAAATACAGCTATACAAAGAACCTATGTAATGTTATCACACAAAAGAAGAATGTCTTCCCTAAAAACAGGTTCCCTGTTACTAGGTCAGGTTACCTGATTGCACTTGAGATACTTGGTACTCTTATCATCACGTGCCCCACATCGCGGTCCTCCAACGACGCCAGGGGTGAGCCAGCCCCCGTCATTCCGCGATCCCCCAGTATATAATAGTCCCGTCCCCAGCGCACCCAACGCACAGGCAAGAAGCTGAACCCGCTATCGTTATTATATACATAGCAAACCCTGCCTCACTATGCCCACTCAGGCGGACTCATACTATGAACAGATGATCAAGAGAATCTCGGACACGCGAGAACAGCTGCCAACCAGCCCTCAGGCCGGCTCACCTAACGCAGTAGAACCCACGCCCCAGGAGGACACTACTATAAGTGAGGCCGGTCAACCACCACCCCCGCAACAACTACCAGAGGATGCTCTAAGTAGGCTGCGCCATCAGAGGGGCAGCTCAGCGCTCCCCACATCCCCAAACACAAGGTGCGCCCCGCAACAGCCGCCTCTCAATGCGAAGCAGCGTCGGGCTGCGCAGCGGCGCGACGCCGAGCGGCGGGCAGCAGAGCGACAGGCGCGTCTCCAGATACCTACCGGAGGCACCTCTCCAACAGCAGGGACAGCTAGAGCCCATCCCAACGCAGCATTGCGGCCCAGGGAACAGCTCTCAGACCCAGCCGAGATATACAGGCGTCTGTCAGCCATCACCGTCTACTCACCCCCGACCCCAATAGGCTTGCCTGAGCGCCGTGGGCATACTGCATCCGACCCACTGATCTGCGACCTCAGAGCCCGGCTGCGAAGCAGGGATGTCGGCTGTGCGCTCTGTGCCTTTTATGAATGGGGGCCGATAGTAGAGACGCACAAGCTGAAAAGGTGCTCGCATCGGGCGGAATCGTCGGAAGCCCAGAGCTGGCTAGCAATGTTCCGGACATACCGAGCTAGCGGCGGCGGGACGGGGGCGTGGTGCCACGTGTGCCGGTTCCCGCTGACGCTCTGCTGGCGGACAGCCTACCGGGAACAGATGGACGAGAAGTACGGCAACCAGCAAGAGGGCGTTAGCGACGGCGGACGTGCTGTATAAGGAGGTGCCATGCGCATGGGTAAAGGTCGTCCAGCGGTTCGTCACGGCGTGTATGATCGTAGGAGGCACCGGCGCCGGCACGGGCGTGAGCACATTAGGCGCGATAGTGCTAGAGACGATGGGCTGGACGGACTGGCCAGGTCTGCTGTTGAACGGGCCTGAGTATATACGTAGTTGGCTGGAGGAGATGGATGAAGTGGACGGGCTCCGGTGCCCGCGCCTCCTACGGCTGTTTTGGCTCCTAGCCCACTGTTAGATGTGATAGTTAGCTTGGAAGGAATCAGGTCCCCAAACAGGAGTCCGGGTCCAAACTATTATCACGTCTACAATAGCTATCATCACATCTTACTTTTACTACTCAATTACTCTATGCCGGAACGCGTCGAGACACGGCTATCCATGTAGGTATAGGAGGCAGATTGAGGAGGCTATGTTCGACGGACGGAGGATGGAGAATTTCAGCAGTTGTTTCCATTGCGGGTTGCCGCAGGGTTGGTGTCGGCGATAGGAGGCGTTGGGCGAGGACGGCGGGCAGTTCACGGAGGTTGAGGCGGTTCATGCCAGTATAAAGGGGTGATAGTTGCGATGTTCGCCGTCGCAACGATTGGTGTAGGGTCGAAGGTGTACGAGGAGATGGTGAGGGCGATGCGCAGGCGGACGGGTTAGAGGAATGGGCATCGAGCGAGAAGGAGGGGGTATATAAGGTGGTTAGGGCAGATGATCCAATGGGGAGGGGTACAGTCAAGCAAGTTAGGCCGGTTGACAAGCCAGTTGTGGCAGA